GACTAGATGAGCATCTGGTTATATCCAAATATCCTGCTAAACGTGATCCATATACTTCCTCATATACTCTGCACTGACATTACAGAGCAGTGTAGTGTGGTGATTGCTTAAAAGTTTATAGACGATGGAAGACAACGAGCAAGTGGTAAACTGGAAATTCACATATGGATGTTGTAGGCTGCATGTGGGTACACAAAATACACGAATGTCTAAAGCAATTGAATTAAGTTGTTTTTCCTTATTCAATAAAGCATATTGGGGTGTTTTTGGAGAGGTTTTTAAAATACAAACTTCATTGAAATTAAGTCCTTGAAGGAGCACACATAGGCAGCCTGTTTTATAAAATACTAAACCTCTTTTTCTTATATTAGGTTTCCATTTATTAAGCTAAGTAAGTCTATATTTGTCCTTTCATGCTAAAAATAGCTGCAAAACTATTAATAACAGACTTGTATTGATGAAATTACTTCTTCATAATTTTAATTATCATTTCCTAATAAAATGTTATATACTTCTTCCTGAAACTTATACCAATGTCCCAATAATCTCTTCAAATTCTACTTAGAAAGTAGGCTAAATTGAGTTTTACATATACACAAAGTAACTGCATAACAACTGGTCTCGGGTTAGTGTTTGAATACAAGACAAATTTTTACTAATTTTCATGGTCAAAGTCACCTTTATCTGTTCAAGAACACATGAAAGATCTTCCAGGGAACTGAGATGTCATAAGAATATTCTTGTAAATCACCCGGTTGTTTACTTAGCCCTCCAAATGAAGCTCTGAAGATCTAGGAGAGTTTTTATGAAAAATACAACTGGACTCAGGTTAAGCTAAACTGAATAGAGTACTAATGATAAGCTTTTTTACAATGTCTGCTCTACACAAGAAGTTTCTTTTAGGGTTTTTTTTTTTAGTGGTGTAGTTTAAAGAGAACAGGATTCCTCTTAAAAAATAGGTTTCATCCAAAGACTGCAATAAAATAGCTATAGTTTCAATATCATAAGATTATGAAGCAATTGATTAATTTATTTTTTTAACTTGGGCTTGTGTCATTTTGGGTGAGCTGAATATTTTGTCCTTTTAGTTGGCTAGCACGCTAAAAATGTCACATTATTTTATTAAAATCATGTATCAATTTGATTAAACTCCCTTACTTTTAAAAACCTCAATATACTATTTTGACCATATTTGCGAACAATATATTAATGTATTCATGTTACATAATGCCATGTTTACATAAAGATGCCAACTGAAAAAAACTAAAGAAACATGTTCTGTACAAATATACTTTGTCAGTGGGTGGTAGTACTTCATGCCTTTAATTTCAGTACATAGTAGGCAGAGACAGGTGGATCTCTGTGAGTTCGAGGCCAACCTGATTTACAGATGAGTTCCTGAACAGCCAGGGCTACACTGAGAAACTCTGTCTTGAAAAACAAATTTAACTCCTGACTTATTTTGAATTTTAGAATTTAAATTGAAGATGAGTAACTAGTACCCAGCTGACGAGAGAACAAACATTTCTGTGGGTGAAGTTTTCAAGTCCAGTGTGTAGATGAACTAACTATGTTTTTTTTTTAGTGTGTGTGGGTGTGGGTGTAAGTGTGGGTGTGGGTGTGTATATGTGTGTGGGTGTGGGTGTGTGTAACTTATCACATGATAATAATTCTAGCAAACTAGGAAATCCTAACTCGGTTAACTTTAGAAATTAAAATTGTTCTTTTCCCTAAAATAACTTATAATTTAAAAACTGAATTGATTTTAAAAGAATTGAGATTATTTGACTTAGACCAATTTACTGGCAAATATCATAATACTAATTACACATAAAAAATCATTATCTGGATTTATTGAGAAATTTCTGCTTTCCTAAGAATTGTAATGGAATACAAAATGTATACTCTCTTGTCAAATAAATATTATGATATTATTATGACTTATATTCACATTTTTCATTTTCCTGAAGCATAACTTCATATCTATTCACCAAATTTTACAATTAATTGTATTCTACCTATTGTTCCAGTTAACATTCAACTATGATCATACATATTCAAAATTATACACAAATTTAAAACTAACAAAAACACTGAGTTATTTAACATATTGTTTCCACTTCTTTCTCCAGTTACCAAAAATTAAAATGGGCAAGCTACAGGTACTTGGAGTTTGTGCAACTGCCATTAACAAAAGATTTTAGGCAGGAAGAGAATTTCCATGAGAACAAATGGAAATGTTTCATAGGAAATGACTGGCAAACCTAGTTAGGATGCAGATCTTATTTGTAGTTTCACAAAGTTTTGTCTCTACACAATTGCATCAGAATACTCCTACATATTTAATGAGATTTTTAAATAATTTAATACTGTAGTGTCTTTCTTTGGCTTAAAAACAAAAGATTACATTCAAGAAAAAATATGTGTGTAGAGTTCATCCACAGATGACGCCAAAACTGCACCCAGAGAAATTTCTATTCTCACATCAGTTGGGTACCAGTTACTCACCTTCAGTGGTGAGTTCTAAGATTCAAAATAAGTCAGAGCGAAGTTGTACTGCGGTCTTGACCTCCTGTCTTCTATTAACACTATTGTAAGTCGTAACTTATGTTAAAGCTTTAGAAGTTTTTCTAGATCCCAAACAAGGACAAGGAATTAGGTTCTTGGACTATAGTTGTATTCTGAAAAGGTGACATCATTGTACCTCTAAAAAGCAGAATAAACTTTACTAGATTCAATCAAAGTTGTCCATAAAGCATGAAATGCATTTTGTTTAGTGAATTGGTTTTTGATACTCTAAAAGTAATTGTATTAATTTATCTACAAAATTTCAAAGCAATTCTGAATAAATAGTTACTATCAAAAAGTAAGCAGAGATAAAACTGATAACATGTTATTATTGTACTGGCTCCAAATAGCTATCTAAATATATCGAGTCACAAATAGAACATTTTAGGTAAAATGTATTTCAGATCACGTGGGGTCATGACTATTGTGAATTCTGTATTTTTAATTAACATATCTAGAACTTGCCTAAGACCGTACCCATTAATATTTTTTTTGATGCTGCAAGGAAATATCTCCTGTAAAGTTAAACTAACGCTGTGGATAAAAACATGACTTGATTCTCAGACATAGTTTACTCACTTTAAAAGCCACATTTACGCTAGAACAATATAAATTCTTATTTTAATGTACTTGTTAGTACCTCAGATAATTTCTTTGCCTAATTATCATCAATATTCATGGCCTGGCATTTTTCTGCTATGACTTTTGGATTGTTTTAAATAATGTTATTAATATAGATGAGGTTATTAAAATAAGTTATACAAGATGATTATATGCTTTGGAACATTAATTCAATAAAAATCAGAAGAGTTTGTGGAAGTACTAATTACAATAGTTTATTAATATAATACTTAATTTGAGAAAATAATCTGGCTTAGAATAATGCTTTTCAATTTCTGTTCCTATATATGACATTGGGTTATTTAATGTATTGATTTCACTTCTTTCTCTAGTTACCTAATGACTATTTGTAACAAGTCATATTTTAAAAACACCTGGCCCATTTTTACACATCAGGGAACTCAGCAGTATATTTTTTAAAAAAACAAAAACATAAATCAGATACAAATCTTATAAAAAATTACAAGTGTACAAATTAATGTTTTCATTACATTGAAAAACATGTGGAAACTGAGCCAAAAAAAAAATCACTGAGGAATTACTCAGAATGAGTTTGTAATATACTGTTTATTTGCCAGACTACTGGAGACTGAGCTGAGAATGCTAACATTGAAATGCATCTTGTAGTTTATAATGTGACGTAAGTAAGAAAACATAGAATTTAATAAATTATGCTAATAAGCACAATTTGAATCCAAAGCTGGTGTCTTACATTCCTTAGCAATACTTTGTGATACAGCTCTGACAACCACTTGTTAAGTAGGCACCGGCTCCTTAAATTCTCAGGACAGTCTGTACTGTGGCAAGAGAGCACTGCAGATGCTTCATCTTAGCATCATTATAGAAAATCTAATTTAATTTCTCTGCTTAATGAGCTAATCACTTGCTTATCGTGTCTCTGTTTATGTATTTATAGAGGCTCCTTTCACACTCTTCCCCCGCAAGTTTCCAGGATAGTTGAAGTAACACAACTCTAAGCTTAAGAGTTTAAAAACCATGAAGTAATGCAGAAATTACTACATTTTCTAAACCCTAGGCAGTTGAGGGGTTTTTGGTTGGTTGGTTGTTGATTGGATTGTTTGTTTGTTTGTTTGTTTGTTTTTGTTTTACTCTTACCTTATTTGTAAGACGCCCATGATCTTAATACGTTGGAAACAGTTCAGGGACCCCCCCTCCAAAAAAAACCCAAAACAAACAAACAACAAAAAAAAACAAAGGAAAACCAAAAAGGGGGTTATTTACACAACTCTAGCAACAAAGAACAATGAAAATTCCATTGGTTCTCTAGTTAGAGATCTAAGTGTCAAAAGAAGAGAAAAGCAAACAGAAGTCCAAGCCGGTGGCTTTTCTTCTTAATCCTGCTTTGTGTTCAGCCACACAGGAAGACTCTGGGACCCTGTGAGTCTTCTGCCATCCCTTCCTTAGAATACTGATTATGTGGAAAATTTAAAGACCCTTCCTGGGGTGCAAATGTTTTCCAGCTGTCAGGACTTGAGCTAGAAGTAGAACTAACTTTAAAGGGCATTGTTTCCTGATTAAGGTATTTGTTCAGAAACTTGCCTTATAGCCCGTTCACATCGTTATTAGTTGGCGAATTTAATTTCTAAACTATCACTATAAATACTGTTATGCACTAGTACTAGGTTTTGTATGCCTTCTGGAATAAGACTCTCTAGTATCTCTATGTAGAATAAATGAAGCAGTTTCAGTGTTATTTCAATGCCACTTACTAAAGTCTTGTTAGAAACATTGTCGAACTACCTAAGAATTGTGCTGAGAATACATATGTTTCTTTTGAATAATACACTTACCCCGGCACAGCTCCTAAGGAAATTCTGTGTGAATAGTCTCAGGAGGGAGTTTGATTTTCTGAGATACCGCAGAAGAGTTCCCCGGAGATGAGGTGTGGAAGACTCAAAGCTTTGCAATGTGGTCCTGCAGGCAGTGAGGTTCAGGCAACAGAGCCAGACGGTCCTAAGGTCCTAAGTGCACCGCTGCGAAGAGAGGGCTTGTTCTGGGTAGATGGGGAGTGTTGTCAGATTGTAAGCGATCAGCAGCAGAAGGGAAACATCACAGCTTCCTGTTACATCACCCTGCCCCGCCTGCACTTAGTGTTAGGTTACTTTCTTTCTCAAATAGCTTACCCCAGGAAAGGAGCAGCAACTCCCTTCTCACTCTGACAAGAGCAAGAAGCAGCCTGAACAGACAGAGATCCTCTGCTGTATGAACACATTGTTACCAGCAAAAGCTGGCGGGCTTTCACCTAGACTGAGTTCTGTTAGAACTTGCTGCCTGTGATTTGAAGGCAATCTAAGTGTAAAAGAATCAAAGGAGTCAGGGGTGTGGGTGTGGGTGTGTGTTGAATTAGAGTTCACAGAACAACCAGGAACGATTTATCATTCACATCTTTCTCCTTAAAAGTGCACGGAATTTTGAGCATCAGAATTACTTCAGACTCAGTTTTGAGCACCAATATGTGATTCAACTCCACAATCAATTTTGCATAAGAAGATGAAGTGGCTTTGTGCTGTCCTTTCTAAGAGTTCCTTAGTCGTGTGTACTGTAAAGCCAGATTGTGTATAGAGTGTGAAATCATTGTGCACACTTTTAAATATCTGATGTAATTATGTCACTGTATATAATCTAAACATTATAGTATTTGTATCTTAAAATAACTTTCAAGGAAATGTGGCTATATTTCTAACATGATACTATAAAATAATTTCATACATTAGATGAACTTCAATTTTAAAAAAAAAAAGGTTTACCTCTAAACATAATTGTATCATCAATATAAGAAATCATTGAGTATAATCAGGAAAAAAGCCTGTAAATGTGAAATACACTTGTTAGCTTTATATAATATGATAAATTATGAGATTTGGCAATAATCATAACTCCTGAAGCAAGACACACTAAAAGTCACATGATCTTTGTATCAAATTTCTCATGTACAAACTGGAAAAGATGGATAAAATAATATCTGAATGTCTTTACATTGTTTAAACTTTGAATCAACATATTTTGTAACATTCAGGAAATGGTAAGATACTCTAAAGACCAAGCAATTCTAATTAGCTACTATAATCTTGCTTCTTTGGCTCGGAGGCACAGACTAATAGGTAGGCTACTACAATCAAGTAGCAAATGAGGAGCTCAGAGTCCTAGCAGATACATAATGGCAGTAAAGACAAGGGATGCAGAATCTCCAAGTATCATGTTCCTGAAAGGCAGTGTCCTGTTTTTAAACATTTACTATCTTGATCTGTGGAGGAAATTTATTACAGAATCTTTAATTCTGTAAATGTATATAGAATAGGATGTACCTGTATAAAAGTATGGGATATAATTGACAATCTAAATCAATTACTAAAAATGAAAACTCTATGTAAGAAGCTGAATTACACAATGTAGTTTTGAGTTGGTGGTAAACTGGGAAGTTACTTTGTAAACACTTTAGTTTTGCTTTCTATAGGGAACTGTTGAATTACATTTTCCTGTGCTGTTTCCTTCAGCTCATGAGGTGAAACGTCAACACTGTAAATCACTACTGCCTCCTAAAATAATAACTCATTAATCAGAAAAATGGCAAAAATATTTTTGAGTGAAACTAAAGCGTTCTGATGTGAAGTCACACGTTGTACAGGGAACCAGGAGTAAAACAGTAGAGACTACCATGTCCCAGTGCAGATGCTTATACTTGCTGGGACAATCTTGACAGAACTTTTAGGTACGATGTTTACAACTTAAAGTTCAGGCAAAACAAATGCTAGATTTTAACTTCCAAATGATCATTGTATATGTCCATATATCCAGTTCTAAGAATATCTGACCTCTGAGACACAGACTGGTGTATACAAAACTACATACATTTCCAGTAAGTACTAAAGCATTGACATGTTTTGATTCACTCATTGGATTTGTTCAAATATAGCAGAGTCTTAGTAAGTAAAGGAATTCTTTCTTTAAAATGATGCTGGAAAAACCACAAACCAACCACCATTCTCCTGTATGATAGATACACGTGGTGCTGTTGTAAACTGAGAATTTAATACAACCTGTAATATTTAGAATAAATTATTGGTTGGGCACATAGGCTTATGGCTGTGGTCCATGAAGATGTGTCTTTCTTAGTAAGAAAAGTAAACACACTTCCAAATAAGATCATTGAGAGTTACCATTTTATGACATGAAAAAATATGAATACACACTATATTAATACATGCTATAAGGACTTCTGGGAAGCTAGACTATGTCGCGATATACAGGAACAAGTGAAAAGATTGAGGAAACTTCTCAAGTGTGTCCTTTAGTATGACACAAATGTTTGGATAGCTATGGCAAAGCTAAATGAAACTATTTCCAGAAATCAATTAGGTGATTCTGAGCCAAAGGGGTATTGTTAGTCCAGTCATTCAGTCTTATATAGTCTACGTGTGTTTTAGATTGTAATCTTTCCCCAGGACACACTGAAGCTAGTTAAAAATATTTGATTAGTGGTGATCAAGTTTGTATTTTCAGATGAACACTAAAAATAGTTCTTTTTCAGGAAATTAAGACTAAATTTTTTAAAAAAGGACTAAAGAAGTGTCTTCTGCTTTGACCATTTAAAAGAGAGTGGACAAGCATAGAAGGATACTGCCGGTATAACTACACAGGGCATAAACCATGTGTAATGCTCCCACTCAGAGTCCTCCCATGCAGAGTAATCACACTCAGAGTGCTCCCATACAGAGCGTCCCCACTCAGAGTGCTCCCATGCAAAGTCTGTGTTTCTGTAAAGTGAGGCATGATGCACAGATGAAAGTCATTTTAAGGAACAGTGACATTTGGCAACTTTAAAATTTTACTGCAGGACTTGTGGTCCTTCATGCGGCTCAAAGGTACCAAAGTCTCTCAGTGAAGCAATGGGTTCCCCCAGTGAAACAGGCCTTGCCTCACAAGGCGATTAATTAATCAGGAGGATGCTAAATCAAAGCCTTATATCCACAAGTTAGACAAAAATCCAGAATCATGTGTGACGAATTTAGGTTTCTACTGACTAAACTGACCACTCGAGTTTCTACTGCCTAGAAACATGGATCTTTAAAAAAAACCAAAATAAACACTATCACAGGGAACATGGTATAGTCCATTCCTAGTAAATGTGCCAGAGTCATCAAACAAAGTATTTTAAAAATTATTTTGGAAACATTCAATCACAATATTCTGAAATAGCAATTCTTTTGTGTTTTTAATCATGAAAGATTTGTTGTTTGTTTTTAAATAATTGATGTAATTAAAAAATTAATGTACTCCATCTCTTATAAGAATTTACTATTTGAAAAACACATAATTCTTATACACTTAAATCAAAAAAAATTTATTAAGGAAATAAGTTGACTTCATACCATACTATTTTACCTAGTAACTGTTGTTAGGAGTTTTTCCAAAGCAAAGGATAATTGATTGCATTTGGTAAAACAATTTCTGCCCAATACCATGTCTCCTGAGGGTGAATATTCCATTACTAAAGCTGAAGGACCAATTTTCACTACATTTATTCAAATCATTTATCAAAGGTAAATAATACTGTTCTAATAAGTTTTGCTGTGCATAAGATTTTTACAAGTGAAAAATGTGAATTTGAAGTGAGCAATCTAAGCCTGTCATCCACACAATAATAAAGTGATTTCATGTGCCTGTAGTATTTCTTATAGTGTTTCATAATGCGTTTCTCCAAGAGAATCAAATTACATCAGAATTGGCCAAATATTTATCTATTCAGAAAGCCTAACTCCTGTTATGTCTTGGTGGGTTTGAACTTCTGTGGGAACTAGTCTGACTAGTGGTGTTCTGAGAATCTGAAGAGACTGCTGAAAGAAAAAAGAGTAGTTCCTGGCAAACAAGGCCTGTGCTAGAACAGGAAGGTGGGCTTAGATGTAACAAATTGAGAAATGTCTAGTTTAAGGAAGGTGGAGTGAGCTCTGGCCATAAGCAGGCTGGTGGGGGTGGGGCATTCTTATTACTCAGTTCTAAGCGAGTCGTCTTTCCATGTTCAGGAGTGTTCCTGTCTGAGTGAAAAATTATATATGAACCAGTTAAAAATAAAGAGCAAGAATTAATGTGTGAACGGTTCATTTGAGACACAGAAATTCCCTTTCCCAGAAAGATTTAAAATAATTCTATTTCTGGAACAGAATTAGATCACATTGAAAATGATGTTTTTTCCTCTCATGATAACAATTTATACTGGACATGTTATGTTATGAAATGCTTCATGTTTTTGAATACTAATCTTGATTGTGAAAATGAAAGCTGTATTTAAATTTGCATTTGACTTCTTGACCCATGGGTCATTTTGTAAATGAGTAACATTATATTTGGAAGGAAAGTAATCACTAAATTCAAAGATGACAGATAGTTTTAATGTTTTCCAGTACTAGAAGACAATATTATTCACCTACTGTCATTAGTATAACTTGGGAAATTATGTGTTGTTAGCAATTTATGATTTATTCTATCTTCTTTGCATTTTCATTCATTTTGTTTACCATCACCACATTCTCTAGAACATAAGTATTTATAACTATAAAATGATTTGTCATGCATATAATGCATAAATTAAGGAGTAATATGATGTACTTTGAATAAGACTCAGAAGACCTGTGGGAAGGTATGGAGTTTTTTGGTACATAGTTGAGACATTAGATATCTGCAGTCTTATCCTGCCACCTAGTGTTAACTGTTCTCAAATTACAAACCGTGACTTGTTTTTTTTTTTTTTAAATTGGATATTTTATTTACATTTCATATGTTGTCCCCTTACCCCATCCCCCACCCACCCGGGAACCCCCTATCCCCTTACCCCTCCTCCTTCTTCTCTGTGGATGTAACCCCTACCTACCCCCCCACTCCCATTTTCCCACCCTCAAAATTCCCACCCCCTGGGGCGTCCAGCCTTCATGAGGTCAAGGATCTCTTCTTCCACCTGTGCCCGGCAGAGCCCTCCACTCTTACATATTCAGCTGAAGCCCTGGATCCCTCCCTAAGTGCTCCTAGGCTGGTGGTTTAGACCCTGGGAGCTGTGGTTGGTTGGTATTGTTGCTCTCCTCATGGTGCCACAAACCCTTTCAGCTCCTTCAGTCCTCACTCTAACTC